CCTGCTTCTCCCTCTCCCACTCCCCCTGCTTGTGTTCCTGCTCTGGCTATCTCTCTCTCTCTGTCAAATAAATAAATAAATAAATCTTTAAAAAAAAAAAAAAAGGAAAGAAAAATGTTGGCAATGTATACCTCCAGGTGCTTTTCCAGGTTGGTTTGTTTCTCTTCACTGAACATAAATGTTTTTGTAGTTTAGAAAAAAATAACTTTAAAAGAAAGATCTGGTCTCTGTTATTGTGGAGTTTACATTCTGACCACAAGAAATGTGCTTAAGATAGTCCCAGGGCCAGGCCCCCAATTAAAAATTGTCATGTGCAGGGGTGCCACGGTGGTGCAGTCGGTTAAGTGTCCGACTCTCGGTTTTGGCTCAGATACTCTTGGTTTCGGCTCAGGTCATGATCTCAGTGTCGTGAGACCCGCCCACATCATCGGGCTCCACACAGCGGGGAGTCTGTTCAAGATTCTCTCTCCCCCTCTTCATCTGCACCTCCTGCTCATGCTCTATCTCTCTAAAATAATAAAATCTTAAAAATTAAAAAAAAATTAGGGGCACCTGGGTGGCTCAGTCGTTAAGTGTCTGCCTTCGGCTCAGGTCATGATCCCAAGGTCCTGGGATCGAGCCCCACATCAGGTTCCCCGCTCAGCGGGAAGCCTGCTTCTCCCTCTCCCATTCCCCCTGCTTGTGTTCCCTCTCTTGCTATCTCTCTATCATATAAATAAATAAAATCTTTTAAAAATAAATAAATAAATAAATAAAAAATAAAATGCACATAAAAATGAAACTGTCATGTGCAGGGGCGCCTGGTCGGCGTGGTAAGTGGAGCGTGCAACTCTTGATCTTGAGGTTGTGAGTTCGAGCCCCACATTAGGTATAGAGATTACTTAAAAATCTTAAAAAAATTTTTTTTTTAAATTGTCATGTGCAACCATAGACAGACACTCAAACAATGCCCCTTCCCTAATGCCCCTTAAATACCTGAGGAAGTTTTCTTGCAGTCCCTTTAGGTACTCATCAAAATAATTCCATTCATTCCTGTGGAGCCAGCTCAGTTGGTGGAGGTTGTCCCTCCGCTTCTTCATGTTGCTCAGGGTCAGGTTGATGACCTCAGCATACGTCAGGACGGACTCAGTGGCATCAGCCGTCAAGGAAAAGCCCATACTCTCAGTTGGTATTGACTGAGCGTTACCAGCAGAAGAGCCTACTGCATGGGGCGGGGGCTGGGGGGGGGTGGAGATGGCAGAGTGGGGGAAATGACCTCTTTCTGGACCAGATCACTGAAATCTGGGCAGGAAAGGACTCCTGCTCTCTGGCCATGGCCTACTGGGAAAGGCAAGCGGATATCCTCCCCAATGGCCAGGCCATTCCCGGTCTTTTAATAAAGCCCTTCTCTCCTGCTGATGGAAGGGCTAGGAAATGCTCTTTTCAGACTGCTGTCTAAAATTCTCACTCCACTTATCATGGGAAGCACTTCGTAATGTATAGAGTTGTCATAGCACTATGTCGTACACCTGAAACTAATAAGTTGTGAGTCACCTATACTTCAATAAAAAAAATAAGCAAATAAATACAATCCTTACTCTATTATTACAGTGGTGAAGAGGAATGGATTTCAACTGTCAGTCTCAAGCCTCATTCCCAACATCATGGAAGTTGATAAAAGATATTGAGCTCCGAGGTTAAGCGGTGCACATGAGATCTTAAGGTCAGTGGGTTGCTGAGCTGGACTCAAATCTGGGGCTGTGTATTCCCAACCCAGGCTCCTTCCACTATACTACACAGTCTACAGAGCACTGAGGTGATATATGGGAAAGTGCTTTATATACTAATAAAGTGCTATGAAATGTGAGCTGTTAGGCTTATAAATAAGTTTGGGGATAGGAGCTCTATAGACAAGTGCTACCTAGTTCATTGGGAAAGCTCCTCCTGATGGGGAGCTATGTGCAGACAGGTAACGTTTCAAGCACTTGTTACTTCTCAGGCTCTATCTAGGCCAAGCTTTTATTGTTACTGTGCCAGTACTCTGCAATAACAGCCCTAGAAGGCAGGTGTTGCTATCCCATTTTGGAGATGAAAAAAATGAGGCTCAGAAGTTTGTCTAAGATCACTCAGCTGGTCAACAGTTGAGTTGGTTCTTGAGTCCAGGAGGACTTGATTCCATATTCTGACCCCCTACAGTAAAGTGCTAGGACTTAGGACACCAACATGTCACATCTGTTTTCTTAAGATCTGTGTTGGTTACCAAATCTTTAAAATAAATGCCAGCAGGGCCAGAGATCTGCTGATGTATCTGGAGGAGGGGTGTGTGTGTGTGGAGGATGGTAGAAGAAACACACGTCTGGACCCCAAATCCTGATCAATACATACTCTGGGGTCAATGAGCATCTGGGAGTCATTACTGAGCTGCAAAGCATGTTCGAGTACCTAGTTAGCATTCTCTCTGGTAGATAGGAAGAGATTTTGCGAGGCCGACTTGGAACTAAAGCGCGCAAGATTCTGAGCCTTAGGCTCATATCAATGGCTACCCTTGACGGGCACGCGCTATGTGCCAGGCACTGGGTTAAGGACTGGGTGCCTTTCCACATCCTTGCTTCTGGGAGGAGGAAGCAGAGGCCTGGAATAATATGTGCCCTGCCCATGGTGGAAAGGATATGGGATGCTCTTGGTTCTTTCCCTCCTGACTATCAACACGTCTTTGCCACAATGCTGCAGACAGGCGTAATTCTGGAGGAAGTACACAATCAGAGGGCTCTTCCCATAAAGGTTGAAGAAGTTTGAAATCAGCTCAGGGCTTTTGCAGGCTGGGTGAGACTGAGTAGGAAAGAGAGTGGAAAAAATTACAGATTGTCATTGTTACAACATGGATTAAGAAACGTAAAGGTAATAATGTTCTTTGTCCAGTAACTCCAATTTTAGGATACTACCCTAAGGAAATTACCCAAATTAAAGAAAAAAGATTTAAGTACTAAGATGCTTGCTGCAGAGATATTGACTATAGCAAAAGATTAGAATAACCTGAATGTTCAAGAAGATACTGATATTTCTATCCCAAGGAATAGTTATGCTGCTATTAAAATGTTTATGAAGAGTTGGTCCTAAGAAATAGCTTCAGATCTAATAGTAGATTTAAAAATTGAGACGCAGGGGCACCTGGGTGGCTCAGTCAGTTAGGCATCTGCCTTCGGCTCAAATCATGATCTCAGGGGCCCGGGATTGAGCCCCATGTCTGCCTCCCCGGTGAGCAATGAGTCTGCTTCTCTCTCTGACCCTCCCCACCCTCATGCTCTCTCTCTCTCTCAAATAAATAAATAAATAAAATCTTAAAAAACAGAACAAAACAAAACAAAACAAATAGGGCACCTGTGTGGCTCAGTCGGTTAAGGTCTGCCTTCTGCTCAGGTCATGATCCCGGAGTCCTGGGATCGAGCCCCGCATTGGGCTCCCTGCTCAGCAGAGAGCCTGCTTCTCCCTCTGCCCCTGCCCCCCACTCCTCTCTCACTCTCTCTCTCAAATAAATAAGTAAAATATTAAAAATAAATGAAAAAAATTGAGATGCAAAGTCGGGTAGATAGCATTATATATTCTCTATGAAACAGTTAAAAAGAAAGATAGGAGACTGGAAGCATAGTTACCAAAATGTTAATGATTCATTCAGCAAATATTTATTGGGTCACTATCATGTATAAACACTGTTCTAGGTGCTAGAGATTTAACCAAGAAGAGGATAAATTCCAGCCCTCACGCAGCTTGCCATTACACTCGAGAAAAGACAATAAACAATTCAACAAATAGAGGAATAGCGTAACATTATGGAATAATAGGTGCTTCAAATAAGAATCAAGCAGGGTGGGGCGCCTGGGTGGCTCAGTCGGTTAAGCGACTGCCTTCGGCTCAGGTCATGATCCCGGGGTCCTGGGATGGAG